AAACACACACGCACACACAGACACACACACACACACACCCCTGAAGCAAGTATGTTCTGATTTCTTTCATCAAAAATTAGTTTTGCCTGTTCCAGAACTTCATTGTATGGACATATCACATTCCCGTTTATCCATTCCCCTGTTGATGGATGTATGGGTTGTTTCTAGGTTTGGGCTATTAAAAATAAAGCTGCTATGTACATTTTTATACAAGTCTTTTACGGATATATGTTTCTGTTTCTATTGGATGGGATTGATGGGTCATAGGGCAGATTTGTTTAATGTTATAAGCAACTCCCAAACTATTTCAAAAATTTCCAAGTTGGGCCATTTTACATTACCACTAGCAATTTATGAGAGTTTCACTTGTTCTACATCCTTACCAACATTTAGTGTTTATCAGTGGCTTAATTGTATCCACTCAAATGGGTATATAGTGGTATCTCATTGTGATTTTACTTGGTCTTTTCTTGATGACTATTGATGCTGAGCACTTTTTCATTTTCTTGAATGACCATCTGTATATTTTCCTTTGTGAAGTGTCTGTGTCTGTATTTTTCCATTTTGATTGAGTTATTTGTATTTTTATTAACAAATTGTAGGAGTCAGTTATGTATTTTGGATACAAGTTCTTTGTAGGATATATGTTTTACTAGTATTTTCTCTCAGTCTTTTTGACTTGCTTACTGATTTTCTTAATGACATCTTTTGAAAAGCAGAATTTTAATTTTAAGTATAATTTATTTTTTATGTTTAGATCTGTGATCATTTCAAATAATTTTTTGTGTATGGTATGAGAAAGGGGTCTAAGTTTATCTTCCTCCAGATATTCAAAATTTTCTAGTACCCTTTACTGAAAAAATTTCCTTTTCACCTTGACTTGTTTTAGAGTCTATTGAAATTCAGTTGGCAATTATGGGTTTATTTTTGGACTCTCTATTCTTTTAAGTCATCTGTTTGCCTGTCCTTATGCCAATCTTGATTATTGTGGCTTTATAGTAAGTCTTGAAATCAGGTTGTACCAGTCCTCCAACTTTTTTCTAATCTTTTCCCAAGATTGTTTTAGCTATCGTAGGTCCTTTGTGTTTATATGTAAATTTTAGAATCAACTTGTTAGTTCTACCAAAAGCCTACTTGGATTTTAATTGGAATAGCAATAAATCTGTAGATCAGTCTGAGGAAAACAAATATTCGTAACAATATTGAGTCTTCTAATCCATAAAGATGACATATCTCTCCATTAGGACCTTTTAATTTTTCTCAATGACATTTTATAGTTTTTAGGATAGAGGTCTTACATGTCTTTTGTTAAATTTATTCATATTTTCTGTGTTTTGAGGCTGTTGTAAATAGTTTATTGTTTAAAAATTTCATTTACTGTTGTTTGTTGCAAGTATATAGAAATGCAGTGATTTTTGTATACTGACCTTGTATTATGACAAAATTTACTCATTAGTTCTAATGGGATTTTGGGGCGGGCGTATTTCTTATGTATACAATCATGTCATCCTTTTCTTGTATTGCTTAACTATTTTTTTATATTGCTTATTATACTGGTTGGGACCTCCAGAACATTGTGCATAGAAGTGGTGCGAGCAGACATCTTTGCCTTGTTTCCAGTTTTAAAGGGAAAGCATTTACTCTTTCACCATTAAATATCATGTTAGCTGTAGGCTTTCCCATATAGTATCTTTGTCAGGGTGAGGAAGTTTTCTTCTGTAGTGCCATAAACTTAACATTTGTTAAATATTTTTAATTGTTAATAACTTGCCTCATAATAAAATTAAGTTAACTTACAAACTTGTTTTCTGCTCTTGAGGGGTCATGAAATAGTGGATTCTAACATGTCCCACTTTAGAGAGTTTATTTTTTCCTTAGCACTTAGACCAAGTTGCTTTAATACTACATTTGATAGTACATTTAAAATACATTGACACTGCATTTTGCAGCATTTGACATTCTTAAAATGATAGGTAAGTAATCATTATCTCTTGCTAGATATGATTTTTCAAATCAGTAGTCAAATATTCATATTGAATTGGGTTTAGGTAGAGGTATAGATGAATAATATTGTGCTTACTTTGAATATATTAGGAGGCTAATTATTTTCCCCCTGCAATCTGGTCATATATTTTATAGCTTTCTTGTGAATCTTGTATGTCATACAAGGGATTGCAAGGAACTTTGCATATTTGACCTTCACAAAACTGGTTATTAGTGTTTTTCTGTCTTTTTATAGACTCGTCAAGCTATTTGATATGCTTTTATATTAACATTATACTGAACACTTATTCGTTCAACTCCTATTCTTTGCCCAACACTGTAGTGTAGGCACTGGAGATATAATGAGGAACAAAACAGATGTTCTTCCCCTCATGGAGCTTGCAATCCAGTGAGGAAGACAAAACTGAATGAAAATATACTATAAACTGTGGTATGTGTGGAGTCTGGTCTAATCTGGGAATTCAAGGACCGTTCCTCTGAGGAAGTGGTATTTGAACTGAAGCCTGAAGATTGTATCTGAATTAACTAAAAGAAATGTGGGGGAAGGGTGGAGTGGAGGGAGGTAGAGCCAGTTTAGCTAATCCTAAATAATGTAGAAGAGAAGTTAGATTGAATAGATATATGGAGACCACATTTTATAGGACCTGTTAGTATTTTATCCTAAGGGCAGTGTAAAACCACTGAAGTATTTTAAATGGGAGTGATATCATCTCATTTGCATTTGGGAAAGGTTATTCTGCCTGTTTTGCACGTAATGGATTGAAGAGAGGCCACAGACCACTCAGGAAGATCAGATTGGAAGCCACTATAGTGGTTTACACACAAGATGGTGCTAGTTTGTTTAGGGTAGTGGAGGTGGAGAAAAGTTAACAGATGGGAGGAATAGTTGAAGAAATAAATTCTGAATCCATACACCTTTTTGTACCTTTAAAAAACCTTTTACTTTACCCTATATTTGTTTTTTACAATGTTGGTTGCTCATTTCTCCTTGATAATCATTGCCTACTGTTTATCCTATTTACTGTCGGTGGCTAATGATCCTCTCTTGCTTTGCTGTTTAGATCCTACTGAGCAGTTGCTTGAGTTGCTTAGATGACTAATAATGAAATATTGATACATATAAAGGACATATAAAATATATTTAAGGTATAAATGAAAAATTAAACATCTGTGATGTATCATCTCAAGAAGTTATACAGTTTTAGCTCTTAGAAGTAATTCTGAAGTAATTCCAAATAATGGTTCCTCTTAGATATTTCACAGCTAGTGTTCAACAGTTGAAAGGAGAAGAGGGGTGGTTGATAATGACTAATAAGAATGACAAAAATAAAACACCTAATGACCCCTAAAATGAAGAGAATTATGCATAACACAAAAACAAAGAGTGCTTTATGTAATGAGCTGTGTAAATATGATATTAATGCTCTTGTTATTAGAGCTTCACATTATAAATTAGTTTCTATTATAATCAGATCAGAAAAAAGGATGGAAAGGAAGAAAAGTGAGGGGCTAGTAAAAAATGTCAGTCTCAGAAAAGAAGAAAATTATCTTGTTTGAATTCCTGAAACTGTTCTTTTTGAAGTTGGTAGAAGAAAAGAAGGAAGCTTGGTGGGTCAAAGCTATTGCTTCTTAAACTCTCCCTCTCATATTATCATATACCTGTGGCAGCATGTACAACTAGGGATTATTTACAGTATTCTTAGACTCAAATCCCTATCAGTGATTATTTGTTGGAAATAAATGTGTCAAACTAAAGTGATCTAGGGACTTCCCTGGTGGCGCCGTGGTTAAGAATCTGCCTGCCAATGCAGGGGACACAGTTTCGAGCCCTGGTCCGGGAAGATCCCACGTGCCGTGGAGCAACTAAGCCTGTGCGCCACAACTACTGAGCCTGCGCTCTAGAGTCTCGAGCCACAACTACTGAGCCTGCGTGCCACAACTACTGAAGCCCGCACGCCTAGAGCCCATGCTCCACAACAAGAGAAGCCACCACAATGAGAAGCCTGCACACCGCAAGGACGAGTAGCCCCCGCTCGCCGCAACTAGAGAAAGCCCGCGTGCAGCAACAAAGACCCAATGTAGCCAAAAATAAATAAATTAAATAAATTTTAAAAAAAGTAATCTAGTATTTGAATTTCCCTAAATGATATTTTTTGCCATTTCTCTGATTTAAAAAATATTATGATTCAAAACTTGAAAAATAATGCACAGTCTATACTTTTAGAAGGATTTCTTTTTTTATTTTGGTGATGAGGTAGCTTTAATTAATAGCATTTTATTTTTCAATGGTTTTATAGTAAAGCTTCGTATTTAACTGTCTACATTCATGAATATTTATCACCTGTAATTTTTATTTTGAATATTTATTATTATTGTGAAAGAGAGTTTTAGTTAAATAGAATCTTGTTTGATTTCCATGCTTTTATGTAACCCTAAAAGTCAAAATGCTTCCCTGTAAAATAGGACTTTCTAGCCTTTTTATATTAAATTTAAATATTTACTTTCAAATCTCAATATGGTACTCATTCTAAGATTGTTATTCTAACTTATTTCATACACTTTTCTGGTAATGAGCAATATGCTTCCATTCTTTATTCCACCTAACCCCCTGAAGATTTTAACAGTAATATGATCTTCCTGAAAGGCAGTTCAACATGGAGGAAAGAATAGATCTATTATTTATTATTATTTAGAAATCATTTTTTGAAATCCAAAATAATTCTTCTTAGAAATTTCCTGACTAGCTGCTCTAGTGGAAAAGAGAGGGAATGAAGGAGGAGTTCATCAAAATGGTGTTAAGAATGACTTTTTTTTTTTTTTTTTTTTGCGGTACGCGGGCCTCTCACTGTTGCGGCCTCTCCCATTGCGGAGCACAGGCTCCGGATGCATAGGCTCAGCGGCCATGGCTTATGGGCCCAGCTGCTCCACGGCATGTGGGATCCTCCCAGACTGGGGCACAGACTTGTGTCCCCTAAATCGGCAGGCGGACTCCCAACCACTGCTCCACCAGGGAAGCCCCAAATGGAAATATTTTTAACCTCCATTATATAAATGAGCTTAATTACTTTCTTCTGACTTGGGTATGAGTAGCTCAAGCACTGTATGACAAAGTTCTTTGACTCTTTGACTCTTTTTCTATTAGGATAAAAAGTGGACTAAGCATTCATTCTATTTATTTCTAATGTCTTCTCTTCTGAGGTCATATTTGATCTTAAATATTCCAGCAAGTAGATTTTAGTATAGAGGTGTTAGTTCCAATGCTTTGTTTGTACAGTTAAATACATCAGATTCAGCAATTTAGTGTGGGTGTGGCAGTGATTGGAGAGATTACAAAATAATTTCTATTAATCAAAATATATTTTAAAGAGTAAAAATAGTAGCTGTATCATTTGAGTTCATGAAGACTTAGACGATTTTTAATAATTAATAGGTTTTTTCTGCCAATGAGCATTAGATTACTGCTGACTTTTTAGTGTCATAGTACCTTGTGGTAGTTTCTCTACAGGGTTTAAAGGTGTATCTCAGGGTTTTTTTTTTTTTCTGTCCTGCTCATAGGAAATAATCTTTACACATGCTATAAGGAAAATACCTCTAGAAATTCATACATGTCATTAATATGTTATAAGGATCGGTCAGTTCCACTGTGTTCTTTTGTCAATCTTGATCGGAGCTTGCCGAGTAAGTCTATAAGCCTGCATGTGCCTGGCAACTGTTACCTAGTGACAGTTTCAGCTGCAGTAGCCATTGGCTGTGCTGTTGATTGGGGCAGGAGGACCGAGTCACCTTTCTGATGGTGAGTTCTTCTGCATCAGCTCAGGATGAGGAGGAGGAGCAGGGCTTCGGTTCAGGTGGAGGCAGTGATACTGAGAGACTGTGAGGAATACACCGACAGCATCTCGGTAACTGCATCACAGTAAATCGGACTTCTGAATCAAGCAGCCCAGCCTAGCAGCTGATAAGAGTGAATGTAGGTGAGAAGCATTGTTTTATTCCTGTAACAAGAACTATTTTGTGATAAGTGAAACTAGGAATGTGCAAGGAGGAATATCCTGTGGCTATTATTATAAAAGAAGAAGGACTTCCCTGAATGCCTTGGTGGTGCACAAGAAAATAACTTTAAGAAGAATGCTTTCTGTTAAGCTCCTGCATTGTTCCTGAAGGAAATGTTTCTATTTCTAACGCATGTTCTTTCTACAAAAGGTATGACAGCAAAGACTGACAAGAGACTCTCTGAAATGCCTGTACTTTAAAAAAGACTTTTGACAAATGTTAACCTCATATCAGAATGACCTTGGAAGCATTTTGGATGGATTCTATCCTGCCAGTCTTTCAGTATTTCAAACTCTAGGATTTAAACTCATCTTGATGCTTTAGAAGTATTTTAAAACAAGAACATCTTATAACCTATCTAATGGCCCCTGTATTAATTGAGCACTTGCTCAAAATAGAACACAGAACTAGAAGAGGCATTTTCTTAACATATGGCTGCTATATAACTGCAAATATAACAAACAAGGTAATTTTCCACTTTGAAAAGGTTTAGTTGAAGTAATGATTTAATGTGTTAATCATTTAATGAAAACAGAAAAGATATAGCAATATAGATTAGAAAGCCTACTAGAAATACCTAAGTAATAAATAATGGCAGCATTTCTAGTCAGAAGCTCAGAGCATATAGGAAAGTTACTGTTGTCTAAATTTCATATATATTTACACATATTTGTGAGATATAGGTGTGGTTGCAAAGGTGAGAAATAACTTTGAGCTGTATATTTTATTATCATGCTCCGTTATAAGGAAGGTGGTGTATCAGATAATGAAGGTTGTTTTCAGTTATTGATGCTGAAACTAATAGCAAAAATGATTTTATTTTCCTTTTGAAAAGGAAGGAGTATAAATTACGATGCTGGTGGTAGCACCAGAAACTGTAATGGACTAAAACTCTTTTCATCTGAATGCTTAAAAAATGCATGCAGAATTAAAACTTCAGAAGTTTTTCATATTTTGTCAGTATTGACCCATTGTGTATTATCTTCTCTACTGGAAGTATGCTTTTTTTCTCTTATGAGAGTTACAGGGCAATCTGGAGTCCATTACTGCTGTTCTGCTCCTTTGTGCCCTAGTAGAGATGAGTCTTTTAGAATTAATCTTGTTGGAGAAGGGGGTTCTTAGCTTTTGAGAGAAAAGAGAGAGAAATGGATCATAAAGTTGACCCACCAGCATCAAACCCTGAACTGAGCCAAAGACACACTTTGCCACAATGAACTTTTTCTTAGCTTTCCAACCAAATCTGAGATCTTAATTATTTAAATTCTACAATATGAATCCATTTCTCCTGACAGATGAAACAGGAAGCCTGAGCCTATTTAAGGTTTTTTTCTCACTCTTTCGAGTTGATCCCTAAGAAACTACCTTTCTGAGGAGAACAAACGGCCCACAAGAGCTTTTCTTCCTTTGGCAATTGCTTTTTTTTCTTTTACAGATTTAATTTTTCATAGTGCAAGGTATTATTGAAAAGTCCGTTTTCTCTAGGAGTGCCTTGTGTCTGCAAAAAGTTGTTTGAAAGCACCGGAGGAAGCTAATCGGTGACCTTTTTTTCACCTCCTTTCTAGCTTATCCCCCTTCCTCCCCCCTCCCAAAGCTGAGGTGTGTTACTGCTGCACTGAGGCTGATGAAGAGACTTGAGTACTCCCTGGGATGCTCAGCTGTGACAGAAGCGCTGCCACTGTCTACTGAAGCTGATTCTGAGACACTCATGGGCAGAGTTTAGCAGATGCTAGGCAGGGCACCTGCTTGCTGTAGCCAGAGCTGCAGGTTCTTTTAATTCCGAGCCATGAATGAATCCAGGTGGACTGAATGGAGGATCCTGAACATGAGCAGTGGCATTTTGAATGTGTCCGAACGTCACTCTTGCCCACTTGGATTTGGCCACTACAGTGCGGTGGACGTCTGCATCTTCGAGACAGTTGTTATTGTCTTGCTGACATTTCTAATCATTGCTGGGAATTTAACGGTCATCTTTGTCTTTCACTGTGCTCCACTCTTACACCATTATACGACCAGCTATTTCATTCAGACAATGGCATATGCTGATCTTTTCGTTGGAGTTACCTGCTTGGTTCCTACTCTCTCACTTCTCCACTACTCCACAGGTATCCATGAGTCACTGACTTGCCAGGTTTTTGGATATATCATCTCAGTTCTAAAAAGTGTTTCTATGGCATGTCTTGCTTGCATAAGTGTGGATCGCTATCTTGCAATTACCAAGCCTCTTTCCTACAATCAACTGGTCACCCCTTGTCGCCTGAGAATTTGCATTGTTTTAATCTGGATCTACTCTTGCCTAATTTTCTTGCCTTCCTTTTTTGGCTGGGGGAAACCCGGTTACCACGGTGACATTTTTGAATGGTGTGCCACCTCTTGGCTCACCAGTGTCTATTTTACTGGCTTTATTGTTTGTTTACTTTATGCTCCTGCTGCCTTTGTTGTCTGCTTCACTTACTTCCACATTTTCACAATTTGCCGGCAGCACACCAAAGAGATAAATGACCGGAGGGCCCGATTCCCTAGCCACGAAGTCGCTGCCTCTGGAGAGACTGGGCATAGCCCTGACCGTCGCTACGCCATGGTTTTGTTTCGGATAACCAGTGTGTTTTACATGCTCTGGCTCCCGTATATCATATACTTTCTTCTAGAAAGCTCCCGGGTCTTGGACAATCCAACACTGTCCTTCCTAACAACCTGGCTTGCTATAAGTAATAGTTTTTGTAACTGTGTAATATACAGCCTCTCCAACAGTGTTTTCCGGCTAGGCCTCCGAAGACTGTCTGAGACAATGTGCACGTCTTGTATGTGTGTGAAGGATCAGGAAGCACGAGACCCCCAACCTAGGAAACGGGCTAATTCCTGCTCCATTTGAAGAAAACCACACAGTAAATCAAATGTAGTCTGACAGTAGTTCGGGATTGTATTCTTGCTTCATCTGGAAATTTGCCACTAGAGAAATATTTACTAGAATAGTTGACTATGAGAGGAAGGGACTAAAGGTTTTTTTTCATGGAAAAAAAAAAACCCTGAAGAAAAGGATGTGTAGAGGGTAATCTCGTGAGATAATTGTAGTGTGTGAGTATGAATGTGCAGTAATAGGCAAAATCAAGCACTGAGGATGGAAAAGTACCTCAGATCTTCCACAGGGCATGAGCAAAGCCCCTGGCGTCTGTCTCTCTCTCTGACTGGACTCTCTCCTCTGTCTCTGTCTCTCTCACTCTCTTTGTGTTTGTGGAAATTACTTACATAAATTGCCCTTTACAGAAAAATGCTACATATTATATATGTGGTAAAGTATAATTTTTTGCATCAAAGTGTACTTGTTTAAACTCACTTATCTACAATCCCTAAACGGTCTCTCCATGGAGGATGCATAGTAAGCATTGTATTTTATTACCTGCCACACAACCATTTTGCTTGTGTTTTTATAATATCCGTAGCACAAAATTTCTGCTATGAACAAAAAGAAACAGTATTTTTGTTTCTTCTGGGTAAAATTATGCTCCCTCCTCCTTCCTAACAGCTTTTTTTTTTTTCCTCTCCATTTTTCTTGATCTGCATCCTTTGGCACCTTAATCCAGAAGTGTCTTAGCTAATGAAAGAATCTACTATATAAAAGTCATAATGTTGAATGATTTATTCCTTCCAAAAAAGCATTCTATAGGTTGTATGAGATACTGTGTTAAGTATTTTTAATGGCTTTGGGAAACATTTTTATTTGTTTTCTTTTGAATTAGTTCATGTGCCCAAAGTGGTGTCTTTTTGTTTTTTGCAGGGGCTATAGTTAAGCTTTGTTTTTCTTTAAGATAATTCACAGATAATTCTAATGCAGATGCAGAGTACTCACTCAAAAGTGAGGTATTGCTCTTAAAGCTACTTGTGTCCTTTTTTTTCCTAAAGAGTAAAATATTAACCTTTTTGTGTTAGATTTACAAAGCTTATTGTTGTGTCTGCTAATTATTTGTATGATAATGCATTTGCACATACTATATTTTTTACAACAAAGAAAATGTAAATTACATTATGTGATCTGTGCCTAATGTCTTCTTAGCACACTATATAGATCAGTGTTGCTTAAGTCATCAACATTGGACAAAAATATACAAAAACTTCTTTTAAGAGAAAAATACTTTTGTGTAGTTGTTATTTAGATATTTCTATTAGACCAAGCTGCATTCTTAGTGATGCTGAGAATAAAATATACTTAATTATCAAATACAGGTAAGAACTGTCAGTATTTTCTTTTGTAATGATCTGTTTTCATATTCAGAGATTAAATTAACTTATTTTTTAGTGTGCTACATGGAATTGTGTAGTAAATTGTCAGGGGTTTAGATGTAGCAAAACAGCATTTGGGAAATTAGTAGTGAAGCAGGTGTAAGTGCTAAAACATCTAAATCTTACTTTTTTTACCATAAGTTTCCTGCCTGACAGATATTTTAAAATTTATATCAAACTACTGAGTATTTTTCTTCTCAGCATTTTTTATTTCTTTATTTTATGAAATGCATTTAGTGAAATGTGCCTATGACTCTTCAAATTGGAAGCCAAACATGTTTGCACACTGGTGGTTTGACTTCAGAGGTCTTTTAGTAAAAGAAATGTCATCATTTTATTGAGGTTGTTCTGAACCCATGTATATTTTTAAACATGTAAGGAAGGTTTAAAATAAAGAATAAAACAGTATTCTACATATTCAAAATCAGACTTTGCTTCAGTTTAATAAAACACTTAGAGTAAGAGTTTACTGTTGGGGAATCAAAATTTGTTTCACATTTTTGTGGTTTGGGTTGTTTACATTAATTCTCATCCCATTTGCCATTGACATCTTGGATAAGTTGAAATGTGCCTTTTGAGTTCAGACCCGTTTAAGGAAAACAAACTTCAAGGAAACATAATGCTGCTGACTTTTCAGGTGGCATAAACAGAACTTTCAACATTATATGTATTATTTGGGAATCAGATTTTGATCCTTTAGTTTGGTGTGTAAGTATAGTTAGAAAAGACTCCATAGATCCTCTGTACAGAAAACCTGAGGCTGTGTTTATTGCATTTTCCTCTTCTGGCTTTTCCTCATGGTAGTTAATAACGATAATTATATGCCAGGCACTGTGTGAAGTTTTACATATATGAAAACATTTAATCCTCACTACAACCCATGGAGATAGGTACTGTTTTTACCCCCATCCTAAAGATGGGGAAACCAAAGAAAAGTGATTTATCCAAAGTCAGTCATTCAATTAATCAGTGGTAGAGAGGTTCATTCACACTCAGTTAACCATTATGCTGTGCTGCCTTTTCCCCCCAAAGCCTCCAGACCTTTGTACCTCTGTCTATACCTTTTCCCTACAGAACTTGTTTGAGTTTTCTTTTTTTCTCACTTAAATCTTTTGCTTCAGGTCTTTCCTTGTGATATCTTTTTCCTTGATCTTAAAAATCTCTTTTATTAAAGTAGCAATCTGGTAAGCCCCCACTTAACCAGTTTAGTCTTCAATCCAACTGAAACCCTGGGGCATGACATTCCCTTGACATTACTTTTGTTCATTTTTGTTAAGTTTTCATTGAATATCTTTTTCAAGTCTCTATAAATTTCTTATTGAAAAAAATGTTTTTTGAAGGAGAAGAGTGGAGAAGGAAATCTCTGTTTTAGGCTGAAAGGAGAGCCTCTAGAAGGCAAGTTCTCGGTTTAGATTCTTCATTTATTTTAATGTTTCATGTGCAACTCTAGGGCAAGCCACTTAACTTGCTTTTGACATATTTTAATATGTGTTTATATAATAATACTTATTTTGAAATTATTCTGTCTTTTAGATGAATATGTTTTAAGAATAGAAAGCATAACCATTATTCTTATTATATTGTATTCTATGGTAATTATCCAATTTGGTTATAAATGACAACCAAACAATAATGATGTAGTCTATTACTAAAGGTTCTGTTATCTGTGGCATTGTTTCTAAAGTTATATAGTGTTGGAAGCCTTTATAACCTACTAGTTTGTGAAACCTGCACTGAAATCCTGGCCCTCGTAAGCTGTTTAGCCCTAGGAAAAATACTGAATGTTCTACGTCTCCAGTTTTCTCATCAGGAAGATCCAGAGACTTGTACCTTCCTACTAGGCTGGATTTGAGGACTAAATGAGATAAAGTAATCTCTGTGTTCAGCATGGCTCCTGACACATAGAAAGTATTTGGAATGTGGTAGCTCCTGTTTTATCATCTTTGTGGATGCCAGATTTATTGCCATCACAACTTAAAGGTCACTAATTGCAATTTAAGAAAATTGTATTTTCTAACAATTAGAGTTTTCTAAAACGGCGTTTTTTCCCAAATCTGTCTAAACTCAGATTTTGGCATAAACTCAGATATTTTTAAATATAGAAAACTTCCATAATCTCTGAAAGCTCATTTTCCAGGAATAGTTATTCATGAAGACATCATTTGAGATTAAAGACATCCAGCAAGCAGATGATGGGATGAGACAGGAATGATTCTGAGATTAACCTACCTCCTTACTTTATTGTATTAAATATGCTTAAATATTTTTCTTCCATCAGGTTGGCAATAGAAGGAAAGCGTTGTTCAGGAATATCTTGCCATTTGTCTTCACATTTTAGTTTTCCTGATTTACTAAAATGGAATTTAAGGTATTTTGTCATGTACATGTTACCTCGAAGAAACAAAGATTAATAAATAGATTCGCTCTACAGGTATCTTCTATAATGAAGATTAGAAATGATGTTGCTGCCTTAAATTAAATGACTTTCCTCTGTCTCTCCCTACCCTGGAAGCTAATCATTAGATGTGAAAAAGTTATAAATATGCGATAAACAGAGAAGATTAAGATGTGGGGAGTTTGCTTGTATAACATGCTGAGCGTAGCATCATTTGTGTCCAGGTAGTACCATCACAATGCACAGGAGATTATGTTACTGAGTTGATGCTCTATTCTGATGTGTAGGTTCCAAAAGTTGCTCTTTTCCCTGAGTAAAACTTTAAGATTAGAAGGATATGTAGAAAGTTGCATAATCATCAACCAAATATATAGACACTGAGGAAAACAAAATGACTTGAAAAGAAAAAAATATAAATCCCCTTTTCAGTGTTTCTTATATATGAAAGTTTTATCCAGGGCTAGTTTTGCTCTATAATTTAAAATATTTTAACTTTATTTAATAGTGTAAATGATTGTCTTTTAAAATATTAAAAGTGATGTGATTAGGTTTTTCTTCTTTATTAATCTGTTTAAAAGTTTTTTACAGTGAGTGTTTACTTATGTTATAATGGGAAAATTGTTTTGTTAAAAAGAATGCTGACTGTTTAAAAAATATTTTGATGTTTCACAAAAGTTTGGTTGATTCTACAAGTAACATTATCCAATTTTGTCTCAATACTATATTCTTTTGAAGACAGTTTATGTAGTTTCTGACTTGTGTAATATTTGTTATTTCACGTAAAATTTTTAGAGAAGTTTGATGCCCTTCTGCTTATGATATTAGATGTCCTTGACATAATTTTGCTTCAACACAATCAGTTTGAAGTGTTATTTGCTGAATCTGAAAGGGATCTCAATCACCTACCACTTTTCTACTGCACCATTTTTTTAATGCACCGTTGATGGCACCTTTTAGCGTTTTTCACATCTTTAAATAACAGAAGGATGACCTTGCATTAAGGAAATAGGGTCCCGCTGGTGTGTTAACTGCATTTCACAGATAGGCAAGATTCTGCTTTCAGTCCCCCATCCCCAAAGATCATATCTATAACTTTTTAATGGTAACTTTTATTCTATTTTTTTATGATTCCCTATGAAGGTGAAGAAAATCAGAGTAATAAATTCAGCAGGAGTCTGTTATGTCTGATAGCAGAAAGGCATATGTGATATCAGTATCTTCACTATAGTAAATGGGACCACCAGATTAGTTTTGGAGATTGTAAAGTTTTAAAATATGTTGGTGATAAATATCAAGAAACATAGTACATAATGGTAGAATTTATTGAATGGAAATATTTGCTTAAATTCTGAAACTTCCCCAAATGCTCCTTTATGCAAGAGAAATCACATTTATTTTTGACTTTAGAAATTTGACTCAAATTTTACTGTTTTCTACTTAATTTTATGTTTTCTACTTAAGCAAGTATAAATGATGTTGATGCTGGTAAAAAGTGCCCAGATATACTTTATAAATTCAAAGTGGTGGCATTATTTTAGGTGGAAGGCCCACATACAACCAATCAAGTACAAAGTTATATAGGCTGTTCTTTAAAATTTAAAATGTATCTTTGAATGCAGTGCAGACTGTAGCAAGAGATGACCAGTGCATTTGTCTGAGGTTATGCCTGACACAAGCAAGTGTTCGTGTATTTACCCTGTGTAAAATACAGTTTTAAAACATTTACTTATATTTCTAATAGAGTTTGAAGTTTAAAATAGGTATTAGATTATACATTTTATAATAATAAATAGCCTCTTCACAGTTATTATTCCATTTACTCTTCCAGGAGTTTTATAATTAAAAATAGTAAATTGGTAAAATTGATATTATAAATGATAGATTTTGCTAAGGTTAAAATATAATTTGTGAAGAAGCAGGTTAAAAAAATCCTGAAAATCCTTGTTTTAATATTTTAACAAATTAAATTATATTTGGATTTTTCTTAAATTTATTATTTTGGCAAGGAAAAGATGGTTCAAAATTCTGTCTTTAGAATTGCTTTAAGTTACCAATTTCAAAATAAAGCATAGTTTCTTATTTGCAAGAAAACAACTTCTGTATAATGTATATCTAGGTTTTTGTGAAATGTTCTTGCCATAAGTTAGATTTTAAAATGTAATAAAAATTACAAATAAATATGCATTTAACTTTTTGCTCTCTTCAAACAGAATTTGAGGAAAAACTTGACACCCCCAAAGATTAGATTTATCACACTTCTGCTTCTATTGCCCCAACACAGTTTTTTTAACACTTATTACATGTCCAAGGTCTTAAAACTTTACTGGATTTTTAGGTGTATTTACTTGGAGATAAGCCTGGAAAAGTACATTTTAAAGATTTGCATTTAGAGTGTTTTATTATTAAATGGGTCTTGTAATGGCTTCTGTTATTTCAATCATCAGCTTCACTTACAGCCCTACTTTCTCAGTTTCTAAATGTGATTTAACACTTATCATTGAACAAACTATTAAAATTTATTAGAGGACTATACCTTGATTGACTTTTATAGATTTTGAAGTCCAGGACATCCTGTGGTAGCATTTATTTGTGGGACAAGATAAAGGTGTGTGCATGTGGGTATGTGTGTATTTGTTACAATGATTTTACCAATGTTACAAACTTAGAAAAAAATCCCTGCATGCTCAATTTGCAGTCATTGTAGAGTGTTTAATTACTTTGCCATAGTTAAAGGTACACATCTTTTTTTTTTTAATAGAAAACTTATTAGGATTTGAAGTAACATTCTTTGGTGAGATTACCCATAATGTCTTAGTTTTGGAATGTTAATATGAGATATATTCAAATGATTCCGTGTGCAATGAGGAAAATGGAGACAAGTACCTGCCTCTCCTATCAAGTGTGTTAAGAAATTATTAGAAAACGCTGCACGTTAAAATTTGAAAAAGCTTAAAATGCTTTTGAACATGTAAAATGCCCTCGTCATTATCAATTAGATGTATTCTAAAAGCTTCTGTGAGTACGCCCTATCTCATTTCACATATAGAAATCTGAGATAAGATTTTTAAGTGACCCTCACAAGATCACATAACCAGATAGAGATACTACTGACCATATGTCTTGTGCGGCAATAGTTTTGCCTGTGATAAAGTTCTTGAATAATGTATTTATGGATGGCTGGTGGTTGAGTGACCTGACCCTTCTTCCTTGAGTAGCAAATGAAGACTTAGTTGATACAGGAAAATTCCATATAAAATTTTATCTTTTAATTTTTAAAGTGGGAAAGATTACCTTAAGGTTGACTATATGTTGAAGGTGGGATTTTGAGGTCATGGAAATTTTTAATAAGATGTATTCTCAGCACTGCTAATTGTGTTGATATTTCTTAAAGCAATTTCTTATCCATAGAGGGTAATGAAAATTTATCTCTCCTTTTAAAAACATAACAGTTTGAAAACATCTGCAGAATTTATTGAGAGCTATATAGACTGAATTCAACTGTATTAGTTATGTATTTAAAAACTATAACCTTGATGAAGAATTGTCAAAAACACACTACTATATTCATATAACTGCTTTTGAAAAGTAAACATGTCATAGCTGTGCACTTTGTGTTCTGAATGTTCTTTGTAATGGATTTGCGATGTTGTTGAAGTCATAATGGGATGGGTTTTTCTGAAGCATTATGATGGAAAAGGTTTTGACATTTCTGGCTACAGTGCTTTATAAAGTCCTATATATGTTTGTGTATAGTCTAAAAAATAGTACTCAGGGAATCAGAGAGAACAGTCTGAATTAGTGGTTTTTTACCTAAAACCCTATTAATATATAATTCAGTTTTCTTTCAATGAAATAATATGTTTATAGAAAAATTAAAGGAACTCAGATTAGGCTAACACAGGATTGTCTTATAAATGTCCTTAGATGAAACCTTTCCTTCGAAAGTATATGCATCAGTTGAATATAACTGCATTCTACTGAGTTATTTGAAGTTTGTTGCCTTAAACATTTAAGATTTTTGTGAGAATTTATGACTATTTAATTTATGGTACTCATTAAAAGGGTTTGCAAGATGAGTCATTGCAAAATTCAAATTACTGCAGTCTGAATTAACCAGTTATGTTTGCATTCCATATCAACAAATTAGGGCAATAAATATATATTGATTGTGTTTTATGTGACATGAATTGTGGTTCTACAGATACTCCTGGACGCTTTTAATCCAAAGAATAATTTATTGAATTGTGGGAAGCAAGCAAGGGGGCAGATTGTCTAATTTCTAGGATTTGAGGGAGAGATTTTAGGAACAATGCAATAGATTGAAGAATTAGAGGGATTGATTTATTTTAAAAGATGAATTGACGTAAATATTTAGCCATGTGTTTAGATGCTTTAGTCTCAGAGGATACCTTGGGATACTTGAGAAGTTATTAAAATGAAAGGAAAGGAAATGTTCAGTGTTTAACATACTATCGAGAGAAATGCACAATAACTTTGGGATGCAGTATATTAAAAATAAAATATTCTTTTATATGGATTAAATCTAATTGGAGTAAAATCGTTAGGTATAAGCGTTGAGATTAGGACAAGAATATTAACATGGGTAGAAGTAGCTTCAGGGACTGTACATGGGGATGACATATTCTACCAACTCAGGTATCATCCTAGACCACTACTACTAGTTTTTCCCTAATATTTGTCATTGATTATCAATGACTCTTACTTTATGAAGGCTTTTTTAGTGACAGGCAGGTTTTAATTTGTCTGCTACTAAGCAAATCATATAATGTATACCTGATATTTTTTAATTAATAGAATCATTTATGCATTTGTTCCTTAAGTATTTATCAGGTTTTTCCTTTGTAAAAGCTATACAGGGACTATACTAAATTCTATGCAAGATAGTGAGATTTATAAGTAAAACAGATTTTCAGTTCTCTAAGAGCATATAGACTAATAGGGGATAGATGGACCACATATAGGTAACTATAGTATAAGATAGGAGTTGACAAAGTCTACTGCTTACTATTGTAAATAAACTTTTATAGAAACATAGTTGCACCCATTCATTTATAAATCAACCTCTGGCTGACTTCATATTTCATACTGCAATGGCAGAGTTAAGTAGTTGTGATGGAGATTTTGTGTCCTACAAAACCTAAAATATTTACTATTTGGCCCTTTCAGAAAAACATTTACTGACCCCTGATATAAGACATTATATGTACCTTGTACATGATACAGTAATAGAACATTGTGCTTTTATCATTGCTAAGGATCTCATAAGGAGGAGTAATTGTTAATTTCAACCTGATTCACCCAAGTATCAGGAAAATTTCCAGCATATGGGTAAAACCATAGATATTGAGTTTTCCTCTATGATTCCAGTGGTTTGTCAACTGATTACCTCACTCTAAATGAAACAAAGAACTATTCTTTCTAATTAACTAATTCTTACCTTTTACAGTTAATCTACATACTTACTATATTTCCACCTTTTCTTATTTGGCTAAAATTCTTTGCATATGAAACTTCCTTCCTAGTCTCTTTATTCAACTGCTAATGTATATAATCATACATTATTTTACCTTTAAATGTGGAGTCAATAATACTTAATATTGAATGTAGTTTTCAAACATCAAAAGCATTTGTTAAACTTTCCTTCAATAAGTGATAACCTTATAGTCTGAAGAAATTGATTCACTTATAATAAGCAGGCCTCTTTTGTAGTGCTCTAATAGGCAGTGAAACAGAAGATCTAGCTATGTAAGAGCCACACTTGTATGCAACTCTAAAATGTATATGACTTAAGAGAGTTGATAGGGATTCCCTGGCAATCCAGTGGTTAGGACTTGGCGCTTTCACTGCCCTGGCTGGAGTTCAATCCCTGGTTGGGGAACTAAGATCTCACAAGTGCCGCGCAGCCAAAATATAAAAAAGAATTTAAGAAAGAGAGTTTATAATTCTGCATTTATATATAACATTATTACTAGGCTCTTGGTAATATATGTTAGAAAATTAATGGATATAGTTGCACTCATGGCTAAGAGTGCCTACATCAAAAAGAATTTTATGGTTTTTGACATTGTCAGATGTCAAAAGGTGTTTTAAACTAACCTGTCAGAGCATTTTGGTTTTCCTCAGGTTTAGTCAAATGGGTGAGAAAATGAATAAACGATCTTGAAACTTTTATTGAAGACATACTTCATTTGGTTCATTAGAATAAAAGCAAACAGTTATATATGCTTTCCATGCACTAGGTACTTTTCCATATCAGAGGTAGGAGAGCCATCATTTGAACCCATATAGTCTGTCTGAACACCATAATAATTTATTTATTGTATATTTTTCTCTAAATGACTGAAAGGAAAATTTCAGGTAAAGCTGGATGTTAAAAAATTGTAAATTGTCAGGTTTCCATTAGTTGATTTTAAATGAAAGATCTCGAAGGATTATTAGGATTATTGTTGCCTTTTTTGGAACACTCAGTGGACTGGAAGACTTTAAGGGAAGACGTCAAGGATTCTTATAGAGATAATTTGAGTGTTAAGATATTGTCTCTGCTTCTTTATATATCCACCAACTTGCCCTTCCATAATTAGCACTTTTTAATTTCACACAACTCTATAAAAGGACAAGTTATAGCTAACTGCTGAAAACTTATCTCAAAATACTGCCTTTTCTAATTGTCATCCCTTCTACATAGCTAATTTCCATTTTTTCATCCTCAATCAAGATTCATTTTAGTTTTTATTTTTAATTTTTAAAGAAATATTACTCCTTAAGGAAATACAGGGAATATTTAAAAGGATAAAAATAGAGACTAAATCACCCATAATTCCATTACCCATATACACTTAGATATAGCAACTCGTCATTATTTTTTTTCCCTTCCATTTTTCCACTGTGGACCAGGACTTCTATGTAAAGGAGTTTTTAATGTAGTTATTTATATCTTAAGGAGTTTTCTATTTTACT